GGGGGGGGGCGTAGCTCGGCGGCTGCTCGACACGTACCGCCCGCGCATGGCGTGCTTCAACGACGACGTCCAGGGAACGGGGTGCGTGACGCTCGCGGCTATCATGGCGGGCTTGCGCGTGTCGGGGCAGACGCTCGCGGATGTGCGCATGGTGGTCTTTGGCGCGGGGAGCGCGGGCGTGGGCATCGCGGACCAGGTGCGCGACGCCATCGCCGCTGAGGGCGGCATCAGCCACGACAAGGCCGCCGAGCAGATATGGTACGTACGACTTAGTCTCCCTTCCTTCTTCCCTCTGCCCGCCTTGCTCGCTCCCGGCTCTTGCAAGGCGTTCCCATCCGCTGACACAGAGACCTCGTCCGTCTACTCCAGGCTCATCGACAAGCCCGGCCTCGTCACCACGGACACCGACCCGTCCCCCGCGCAGCGCCTCTACGCCAAGGACGCCTCCTCCTGGACCGGCCGCGACGTCTCCCTCCTCGGCATCGTGCAGGCCGTGCGCCCCAACGTCCTCATCGGCACGTCGACCGTCCCGGGCGCCTTCACCGAGGAGATTGTGCGTGCCATGGCCGCGCACTGCCCGCGCCCCATCATCCTCCCGCTCTCCAACCCCACGCGCCTCCACGAGGCCAAGCCCGCCGACCTGCTCGCCTGGACGCGCGGCAAGGCCCTCGTCGCGACGGGCTCGCCCTTTGCGCCCGTGACGGGGCCGTGGGGCATCACAAGCACGAGCGACGGCAACGACGACGAGGGGCAGGGAGGACACGACGTGACAGTCGAGGTCGCCGAGTGCAACAACTCGGTCGTCTTCCCGGGCATCGGGCTGGGCTGCATCCTCTCGCGCGCCAGCCGCCTCACCGACCGGATGCTCGTCGCCGCGGTGCGCGCCGTCGCCGACATGAGCCCCGCGAGGGACGACGCCACGGCGCCGCTCCTGCCGGACGTGCGGGAGGTGCGCGCCGTGAGCGTGCGCGTCGCCTGCGGCGTCATCCGCGCGGCCGTGGAGGAGGGCCTGGCGACGGAGCAGGGCATCCCGCGGGACGACGCGGACCTGGAGGAGTGGGTGCGCGAGCAGATGTGGGAGCCGCGGTATCGGCCCCTGAGGAGGGTGGGCATGGAGGGCGCGACGCGTGCGGCGAGGGGCGAGCTGCGCAAGGCGGGCACAGTGAATAGGGCGGATGAGCTGTGATGTTGAGAGTTTCAACGATGCCATGATTGATTAGTTGCCAGATGCACCGTATGTGCGGCTCGCAGTGCTAGAATATTCACGCATGTGGTATTGAACTGTTCCTGAAGCGACGTACATAGACCCATAGTCCCGGACATTAAACGACATGGCGAGCCCTTTCCCCCTTCTGCGCAGTAAGACAAACCGCCGTGCAAGTTGACAAGAAGAGAGTATCAAAGGATGCCTGCCCGCGCCGCCTCGCCGGCGTTCTCCTGCACCAGCTCCTCGACTCGCTTCTTGCCCCTGCCGAGGCCACCTTCGCCCACGCCCATCCTCCGTGCAACGTAGCGCTGGGCCACGATCCCCACCGAGAGGTTCAGCGTCTCCTCGATCCACTCGGCCACCCATTCCCGGGGGTCCACGCCGCCGTCGTCGAGAATCTCCTTGATCTCGTCCGGGATTCCGCTTTCAAATGCGTCGGCGCCCTCGTCGGCTGAGCGGGGCGTCATGGGCGTCGGCGCGTCGAGCCATCGGATCCATTTGGCAGGCACGCTCTGGCTGATGGTGGAGAACTCGATCTCGTGCACGGGGTCGAGCACAAACACGGCGAAGCAGACCTGCTCGTCCTCTTCCTCTTGCTCCTTGACCGTAGACGACTCCTTCTCCTTCTCAGCCGATGCGGTGCGCGCAAAGAGCGTCTTATCGCCATCGACGTTGATGGCTTGGACGGCCAGGAACAGGTCCGAGGTTCGAACAGGGTTGCTCTCGCTCAGATTCTCGGTGGCCCGTATCTTGGCCTGCTCCAGTCCGCCGCTGGCAGCAAAGTATTCCGTCGCGTAGGATTCGGCACCTGCGCGGCACAGCTTGCTCCCTTCGACCATGCCCTTGACGAGCCCTAGCTCGCGGGGAGAGTCGGTCTGCCTCCACCAGGGACCATCGCGCCAGCCAGCGGCGCCGTCGTTGGAACGCCGGGAGCTGCTCTCGTGGCCGCGCTGAACGACGAGGAGGTCGCCGCCCTCAACCTGCGACATGACCCGAGAGAAGACTCCGTAGATGAGGGGATCGAGCGACGGATAGCCGACAAAGTCGTGCGTGATGTGGATGAGGAGACGCTCGTGGGAGCTGATGGGCGGGGCAAGAGTGTGGAGGATGTTGGTAAAGGTCGGAAGGGCACGGCTGCGAAGCTCGTCGCCTGGCATCACACCGTGTTAGTTGTGGGGGCTCGTCTGCTGCTGGTGGTACACAACTCCGGGGAACGCATACCGTAGTTTCTCAGGGCACCGACGTCGATGCCACGCAGGCCCTTGACCTGGTCGGCCCATTTCTTGGCCTCCTCGTTCTGCTGAATCTCCTTGACGGCCGCCTCGGCCTGCTTCATGGCAGCCGAGGCCGTAGACAGGATGCCACCCCACCAGCCGCCGCCAGCGGCTTGCTGCTGTTGCTGGACCTGCTCGACGGGGCCTTTCTTTTCGGCCTCGTGCAGCTCGGAGCTCGTGGCGCTGGGGGTGAAGCTGGCCCTCAGGCTGCGATTGCTGTCGGTGGACTTTCGGCTGCCTCCCGGGGCCGGCTTGTCGTCGGCGGCCGGGGGCGTGGCGGCAGGGCGTCTGAAGCCGCCCTCCTTGAGGCGGGGTGTGTGCGGGCGTGACGCGGTCTGCTCCGAGGCGAGCTGGGACTCGAGGTCGGCGAGGATGTCGTCATCACCGCCGGTCTTTGCCTTGGCGGGTTTGGAGGACTTGGGGTTGGTCGTGGGCTTCTTGGCCTTGGCGTCGTCGCCGATGCCAGAGAACAGCTCGTCGAGGTTGTCGTCGGCGGCCGAGGCGCCGGGCTTGGTCTTCTTGGAAGCCATGTTTAACGAGGGAGACTGGGGCGGACGGGGCTCTCAGCGAGGGTTGTCGAGAGTTGCGACGCTAAATGAAGGGGTGGCACGAGATGTTGGTCTGACGCTGGAAGACACGAGGTTGAAGTAGACGTGCGGGACGGGATGATGGCATCCCATGGGATGGAGTCGCAGGTCGGTTCCGTCTTGGGAGCTCCAGCCATTGCTGTTGCTGTCCCCGCCGCGGGCGCTGATTGGCTGCGGGAGGGAGCTACGTATCCGGAGCCTTGTTGCTGGGTGGCCCCACTCTCTCCAGGGGGTTGCGGGCGACAGGCGAGCAAGGTCAGGGTGCCGGGTGGACCTCTGGCCACTGCAAAGTGCGCTGGAAGTGAAAGTCACGGGCCAGGCTGGAAGCCGCGGGCTGAGGTGCCCGTATTAGGACCGCAACGAGACGTCACCCGCTGGCTGCGTCTGGTGCCCGGAGGCATCTGGGCGCCGGTTCTGCCACCGCGGGGGCGGCAAGAATCCATTGGAGGTGATGCCACCGCAAGGAACTGCGATGTAGTGGTCGCAAGGTGATTGCATGTCACATGTGCCAAGTTCAAAGTACACGATGGCACCGAGTGCCTGGACACTTAGGTAGGGAGCCCACACGGGGTTCGCGATGCGGCGACGATGTAATAATGCGAGATGAGCATCCACTGCAAACCCGCAGCTGTGGCTGCCTTGCCCACGGCCATCGCTCGCCTCTCGCAAACATGTTTTGCCACGGCATCAGTCAGCCATCAGGAGATCATCTCATCAACTGGAAGAGGTGCTGGCTCTGCACCCAGACGACGGCCGCCGAGCTGCGTCTCGTGCTCAAACGGCCCGCCGGACCACTCGCTGGTCCCAGGAAGGTTTAGCGCTCCCGCGGCCTCGCGCACCTGAGTGGCCAGCGGCGCACGAAAGGGCTTTTGCCAGCGGCGGAACCCCGGACTGGCAGCCCACTGCAGGCCAGGAGGAAGGAGCCAGGGAGGAGCCAAATGCAAGTACATACAAAGGCCACCGTTCGGTGCCCAGCCTCGAAACCGTGCGCGGGAGGGGGATTCGCGGATGAAGCGCCTGGCGTATGCATCGGTAGGAAAGTACGCATCTAAAGTAGCTGTTCCTGCTCACGGCGTGCGCCAGCCCGTGATAGAGTGTCGACGGCGGCGGTGCCCGCCCTGGTGGTGGCCGTTGCGCGATGGAGGGTTCAAGGCTGCGCTGCGAGCGCGTGTCAGGGCCCGGCGAGTGACTTGCGTCGGGGCATTCTGCCAGGGAGAGTGACTTGCGTCTTGTATACCGGAGCCGGTCGACTGCGCAAGGAGCCCGTCGCCAGCACCGCGTAGGAGTCGCGCATCGCCGCGCCCACGCGTCTTTCAACGGCTGAAAAAGTAAGAGCGTCATAGTATATGCATTTTTCAACAAGCCGCCGACCGTAAATCCCGTTGATGCGAGGTTGCGGGCCCCGCTGCCGGTCCTCGCGAGTCGTCCCGTCATTCCCAGGACGCCTGGGCACGCATGACACGCACAAGTACCCGGTACGTACCGGTCGGGCCAGGCCCAGGTACCGCCTCTCCAGAGGCTGGCCTTGGCCCCAAGCGCAGCCCAGCACCAGCATTTTACAGTGGCCACACACGCCCGCGGGTCGCCCGTCCGCGCCGCCGCCGCCGCCGCCAGCCTTGGCTCGCTGGCTTATTCGAGCCACCACGACACCTCGAGAAAATCGGCCGCCAGGAGAGCGAGCGAGTTCATCCAAACGGCTGCGCAACCCATTCCCTCGCCATTCTCTTCTTGATACCCCCCGCCCCCCTTCTTCGCCCGCCGCTGCGTCGCTGCATCAGCATCAGACAGGACTGGCTCTATCCGCCGGCGCCCGCCTGCTTGCTTGCTTGCCCGCTGCTCCGCTGGCCGCCGCCCCGTCTGGTTTGTTTGGAGCCTGCTTTACCTTGCCTTATTCTCAAACTCTACCTCCCTCTCGCGCTCACACACACACACACACGTCCACACAAACATCCTCACCCTCATCACACCAACGCCCCGGCCCTGCTCGCCTCTGCGCGCCTCGCCCTCATCGTCCGCATCGTCTCGGGCTTCCTGGGCATCCTCCGATTGCCCTTTTACTTGACCCTCCGCGTGGCCGGCGTCCCTGTGTCTGCTGACACCACCCGCCGCCGCTTCTGATTTTCTTACACGCTTCGCCTCCCGCCGCTGCATCTCGCGCGCTGCCCCGGTTCACCACCATGGACCGCGCTCGCCGGGCTGCAGTGAACAATCGCCGGAAGCCTCTCGGGGCCTCTTCTTCGCCTCAGTCAAATCCAGAGGACCCCATTGAGCACCTGCAGTCGCCTGTGGCGAGCCCCGTCATGGCCTCGGCCAACCATCCCCAAACCTCCTCCACCACACCGCACACGGCTCCCTCGAGCCGCCGCGGCAGCAAGGCCTCGCAGAGCTTTTCCTTTGCTACGCCGGCTCCCGCCTGGCCTGCCGGCCAGAAGAAGCGCTCCAAGGCCGCTGACGGCGGCTTCGCTGGCTTTGCCGACGAGAATCACAGCGACGACAGCCCGCAAAAGGGCGGCCACAGCCTGCGTAAGCGGGCTCGCGTCGACTACACCTTTGAGCACGTCGACGACGACCTGCTCCAGGGAGTCTCTGCTTCAGGCCGCAGAAGACGCCGCACCGACGTCATGGATGAGCCCGAAGACTTTTACGACCCCAGCCGCGTGTCGGCCTCCAAGAAGCGCGGCGCCTCTCTCGGCGCCGATGTCACCGCCGCGCCAACGCCCACCATCATCCGCCGCAACCCGGCTCGCAAGAGCTCCGAGGTCCAGGCCTACAAGGACGACGAAAACGTCAAGGACACCATCGAGGTCGGTGTCTCCTTCTCCGACATGGACGACTCGGACCCTCGCCGCGCCAGTGACTCCACCGCCGAGCACTCGCCCGATGATGCTCTTATGGCCGCCTCTCAAATTGCGGATGAAAGCGCCATCCTGGACTCTCCTGTAGAGTTTTCCAGCTCATCCTTTCCGGTCCTTGATCCCGAAGTCCAAGGCGCGCCCGTCGTCGATGATCAGCTCATCGACCCCTCCCTTCAGCCGGCAACCACCCCATCCGACTCCATCCAAAAGCAGGACTTTGCAGTCACGCAGGAGCCAGCGGAACCTTCTGAAGCACAGGACGCCGTTGATTCTGTTCAGCCCACAGCGGATGGAGATATCACCATCCCAGATGCTCCTCCATTGACAGAGTCGGCCGACGTCAAGGATAGTCCCTCCGACGACGAGGAGCCATCTCTGCAGCTGTTGAAGGAGAACAAGTCTGTCGACACCATTGAAAAGAGTGTCGCGGATGATGGCCTGGCCATCTCCAATGCCAGCGCCCCGGATATTTCGGCGCCCAAGGACGAGCCTCCCACCACCGAGGCTTCAGAGTCCATCTCAGATATCGCGCCCGTGACCGACCAGGACACGCAGACCACTGCACGTGCTCCTTCTGACAAGGCCGAAAACGGCTCGGCCGATGCCATCATTGATGGCCATACAGAGACCCAAGAGTCTCTTGCACCTCCCACCATCACCATTTCCGACACTACCACTCAGACTACCACAAATCTCGCCGACTCTACTGAAGATGCCAAGGAGGAGGCCACCGCCCTCGGTTCAGACGCACAGCACACCCCGACAAAGAGCATCGAGGTGCCTCAGCCTGATCTTTCCGGATTCGCCCACGCTGACATGGCGGAGATTCCAATTTACTCAGCCGACAGGCTCCAGGACCTCGTCAAGGGTCGATATGCCAAGCTGAGCCCCTACGTTGACGGCGCGCGCCAGTCCTATCCTAGCAAGTCCAATGTCACCTATGAGGCCGAGTTGGAAGAACGCTTGGCCGAGGTCAAGGCTGCCAAGGAGAAGAAGGAGGCTACTGAGAACGCTACCGAGACCAAGGATGCTGAGAAGCCCTCCGATTCCAAGAATGCAGAAGGCCAGGACTTGGATGAAAAGGCCATCGAGGCCCAGGACGCCGACGAGAATGATGGCGACGACAAGGATGGCGATGACTTGGAGGCCGATGACCGTGCCTCCGACGATGATGACGCCGATGACAATGACGAGGGGGACAACGTGGACTCCAACGAGAACGGCGAGGCCGATGACGTTGGCGACGTGCCCATGACTGAGACTGTGACGCCAGCGCCTGCCGACACGCCCAAGAAGCGGTCTCTGGTCGCCCTGTCTCTCGAGCCGAGCAAGCCGAATGAGCTCATCCCGCTCCCGCCAACCACAGACGGCACGGTGCCGACCAAGATGGTCAAGCCCGAGGATGCTCCTAAGCTGAAGCACAATACCTTTAGCTTCACCAAGATCCAGGACAAGGAGTTCTACATTGATGCTCTCAAAGACTACGAGTCAATGTCGACGCAGGAGCTCTACGACGTCTTGCAAGTCGTCAACCTGGCCCTGTGCGACTGGCAACGCGAGTACTTTGAGCAAGGAGACATTGTCCTGAACGAAGAGAATGCCATCAACCAGGAGATTGAGGACGCCAAGTTCCTCAAGAAGATGCGCATGAATCCCGACAAGGACATCGAGGGCTCGTGGCCGAGCGTGAAGCAAAAGGGCAACAACTTCAAGGGCCGCAGAAAGCGATACGAGGACCTCAATCCCAACTACGAACTGCCTGAGGACAAGCTGGCCGTTGCCGTCTACGGCAAAGAGCCTCGTGCGGACCCCAATATGATTGTTCCCGCCGACCCCAGTCAGAAGGAGGGCGTTGTCACCCGTTCTCGAGCCTCTAGGACCACGGTTACGAGCGGCACTGGCAGATCCAACCCTCAGGAGGTTCTCCCCGCCAAGCGCAGACGCAGAGCAGCCGCCAACATTGACTACACACCTCAAGACACCAGCCGCAGTGCCACGCCTGCGCTTCTTCCGCGGATTGTGGGCCGCAAGCGCAAGGCCGCCATGGTGGACGAGGCGGGCAACGCCGAGACGACGCCTGAGGTGGAGGAAGAGCCAGAGCCCAAGCCCAAGCGTCGCCGCCGTACCAAGGCCCAGATGGCCGCCGACGCCGAAGCTGCTGCTGCCGCTGCTGCAGCCGCCGCCGCCGCGGCTCCAACACCCGAGCCCGCGAGCGCCGACAAGTCTGCAAGCAGGCCCGGCCGCAAGCGCGCCCCCAAGCGAGCGATCGACCAGGAGCTGGCTTCTTTTACCAATTCCGTCGAGGACGACGAGGACGCGCCGAAGCAGAAGCGAAAGATGCTCACTCTCAAGATCCCCAAGGTCAAGAACTCGAGCGAGCCCTCTTCCGAGATTACCGACAACGGCGAGTCTCGCCCGTCTACTGCTTCGTCCGAGTCGACCTCGCACACTGCCGACTCGTCGTATTCCTTCCGGCCCAAGCGCCAGAAGCGGTTCCGCGATGAGCCAGACGACGCCGAACCCGTCACCCCGGCTCCCCCCAAGAAGCGCGGCAAGAGAGCGCAGGCCACCAACGACAAGGACGGCCGCGTTCCCGACTCGGCGACTGCCACCCCCGAGGTTGCCACCCAGCCCGCTTCCGGCCGCAAGCTGCCCAAGATCAAGGTGGTTCACAAGGCCGCCACTGACGCTCAGAACGGCACACCTGCCGCCACGCAGCACGCAGCTGCTGCACCTAGCACTCCCGTCCCTGCTGGCACCACGGCCGATGGAGGAGATTCGCGGCCCAAGGACTACGACAAGATGACCAAGTCGGAGAAGATGTCTGCGTCCATGAAGAGTAAGTTCCATAGCTCAACACGCCTCATTTATCGTCCGCATATACTAACATGTTATTCCAGGTCGATGGGCGAACGGCAACATGGCTGGGGCCGTCGAGAAGCGCAAGGCCACCCTTGCTGCGAAGAAGCTCGCTCAAGCCGCTGCCGACTCCAAGGTCGGCATCATCGCTCCTAAGCCCAAGGGCAAGGCCGTTAAGAAGGAGGCCGCTGCCGCCGCCGCCCAGCAGCACCACCAGCAGTCACCCCATCCCGCTCAGCATCAGCAGCAACACCAGATGCACCAGGCTCCCCCTATGCCTCAGCAGCACACCTTCCAGCAGCACCATCCCCAGCCTGCCACAACGACGGAGTTTATCCACCACGGTATGCCCGGAATGGGCTACCACTACCCACACTAATCGGACTTTGCGTGACGGACACATCGCGCCAATAGTCCCCTGACCTGATCATATCGCCATCGAGGACCGCGACTTATTAGTCCTCTCTGGCTCAGCAGCGCGATACATACGCCTCATGCAACGAGCTACCCTGCCTCGGTGCTCTTCCTACCTAGCATATGGGTGATCTGCGAGGGTCACCAACACATCTCGAACCCCAAGGGGATCTTTGTCTGCGTCAAGTTCTACAACACTTGGCCATTTGCAAACTATTGTTCTCTCGTCTTTTTTCCCCTCCATCCTGGCATATGGGCGTCCGCGCGCGCATCACAAATTCGTGTTTTCACGACAAAAAACTCTGCATCCACACACCCGCGATGAGGCTTTTGTCTTTTTTTGCGCATAATCGGTTTCGGCTTCTTGTCCCTTTTTTTTCACTTTTCCTGCTTTTTTTCCTGCATCCGGGTGTGCGCTATCCGGGCACACACGAACAACATGTCCGAGGAGGGGAGGGGTTTGGAGGGGAATTGTTACTGGTGGTCATCCTTCCATCCACCTGGTCGTCCCTTTTCTTGTGGGTGGTGCTGGCTGTGGTGCTGGGTCCCCCCCCGTTGGCGGACGGGACGGACGGGACTGGGACTATGTACTAGGCCGGGTTTGCTGGAGGGAGGGAGGCGGCGCACGCACGCACGCACACGATGAAACCTGGCCGGGGAAGGGGAAAGGGAAAGGAAGGGGGTAACGGGAGGAAACATGTACAAAAGCAGCTTCTCGTCTTGTGATGATGTATTAGAGCGCGTGAATGCAGAAGGCTCCGGCGGCGATGCCTGGGGACGTTGCACACATGAGATTTGTTTGCGTCGCGTGGATGTGAAGGGTGATGAAGGGTCTCAGTGATGTACTCCAGGCGTAGGAGGGGCCATGTATTGGAGCGCGAATGCAGAGGGGCTACTCGGCCCTGCCTGAGGACGTTGCGCACACGCACGATCTACTTCTGTTGCTGAGGGGCAAAAGTGGTGATGGGTCTCGACGTGGAAACATACGTCCAGGGGTAGAGCAGGGCGACGACCTGCCTGTGGTATGGATGTGACGTTGCGGACTCCGTCCCGCCGCGGCGTCCGCCAAGTCACGCCCCTTCGGGTCACGTCACAGATGGCACCAGCCCCGAGTATGTTTTGGTTTTTTGTTGCTTGTCCATGATGCGATACCTGGTATGAATCATCCTTTACACGCCGCAACCGAAATGCAGAAGCCCTGCCAATCCAGCGTTCCGGACTGTGCGCTTTCCCTCTCCCCCTACCAAGAAGAAAAAGAAAACCCTCCGACCGACCGTCTTCCGCTCCGTCGTCAAACACGTTTATCCGTCGCCGCCGCCCCCCGACCGCCTGCCGCCCGAGATCTATTCGCGCGCTCTACTTCGGGAAAATCGCCATCGGAGGACAGGTGGTGGTGGCCGTGCTGCGTCGTGTTTTCGTGGTGGTGGGGGTTGTTCTTCGTCAATGCATGTCTTTTTTTCCCTTGGACAAGGACATGGGGGAGTGGGTATCCCCCGTGCCCTTGTTCCGCCCGGTTGCTACCCTTCACACCAAGGGGAGCTTTACATGACGACACCAGAGTTGCTGGCAATACGCTGTGGGGGGGATCATGTCAGCTGCATGGTCATAAGGCGGTGTTGGGTCGAGGGTAAAAACTCACGGGCCACAGCTCAGCAGCCTCCTTGCCGACGGGGCCGGTGATGGCAGAGCCCTTCATCTCACCCTTGGGGTTGACGATCTGTAGAGGGTAATGTAAGCTTCCACTGCAAACAAAAAAGGGACGGGCGTGAAGCAAGACGCATCGCAGTCTGGGTCGGTGAACCGGGATGCCAATGCGTCTTGTCTTCCATCACGTCAAAAACCAAGGGGGCGGTAACCACATACCACACCAGCGTTGTCCTCGAAGTACAGGAAGACACCGTCGAAGCGCTTCCAGGGCTTGGCTTGCCGGACGATGACGGCGGGGTGGACCTTCTTGCGCAGCTCGGGCTTGCCCTTCTTGACGGTGGCCATGACCATGTCACCGACACCGCCGGCGGGCAGGCGGTTCAGGCGGGCGCCGATACCCTTGACGGCGATGATGTACAGGTTGCGGGCACCAGAGTTGTCGGCGCAGTTCATGACGGCACCACTGCACAACGTATGTTAGTCGGGAAGGTGGTCCTTCTTCAATCGCAATCGCTGCGTGCCGGGGGCGGCTCGTTGTCGGCTGCTTCGCGGCTTCGGGGTTTGAACGTACACAGGGAGACCCAGGGTCATCTTGAGCTTGCCACCGGGGGCACCACGCCTGTAGGGACATTGTCAGCGGGGGTCCAGTCCTCTCAAAATGTGCGCTTGTGCTCTTCGCGATCCGACAATGCTGCGACGTCCTCAAGATCCCTTGACAGTTCCGATTTCATGTGCGAAAATTGAGGTCAATGCCCGCGTATTCGGTGGTCGATTGGCGCTGCAGTTGTCCGTCGCAATTTTTTCGTAGTAGACGCTGGGAATAGTCGTGGCCGTCGAGCGTCGTGTCGTAAACGGTTTGGTGATTTCGCAGCGCTACCCCCTCCTCCCGCGTATCGATCGAGCATTCCCTCCTCTTGCACGTCGCATTGTCGGATCCGAAGCGAGCACGGCTTGTAAAACGCATAATCGAGGCAACTTACGAGATCTTGGCCATTGTATCGGTGTTTGTGTGGCGTTACTTCGTGAAGAAATCTGCCGAGTCTCGGGATGCCGTCGTCGATTTGGGACTGGAGCTTTTCACGGGCGAAAAATTCCCAAGCAATCTGTGGGGTGAGAAACCCTACAGCAAGCGAGTGACGGTGCACGTGACGATAGGGACTTATCGGTGGGGGTTGGATGGGCCGCACCGGCCAATGGTGGTGTGGCATCGTGGCTGCGAGGAGCAAGTTTCACAGGGTTGGCAGGACCCGCTCTTTCACTGCTGGGCTCCGGGCATGTCTTGCATTGAATGTGTGTGCGCGCGCAAGGCCCCCGGTTTCGCGTGGTCTGATGGAACCTCCCCCGCGACTTCAACAAATTCGTGCAGCTTTCGGATTATCTTCCTAGTTGGAGGAACCATTTTGCCCGGCCGTGCCGCTGCCGCTTCCCCTACCGTTTGAATCGGCTTCAGAGTTGGCAGCGTTGTCAACGTAAACCCACGATTCCTCCGTCGTCGCCGGTGGCTCCGATGATGCCGTGCTCGACTGCCCTTCGTCGCTGGTCCTTTCCAGGAGGCCGACGGCAAAGTCCTCGTTGTTCTCCAACCAGCGACTCATGCCGTCACTGGTAGAGTCAGCCGTTTTGCCCCAGTGAGCGGCGGGGGGTGATTCGCACCTCGTCTCCTCATTCGACTTGCCCATCGCAAACCCACACAAAGGCCGTGATGTGCGCAACCGTCGACGCTGTTTGATACTGGGTTTGGCAGCTTTCGCTTGCACGGATTGCGGCCGATGGCTGAATCCTATACCGTCGTTGGAACGTGTGGCGTGGAGATCTCGGCCGTGCGGCTCCCGAGCGAGATGTCGGCGTTATATGTTTCCCTTAGGCACGCACGTCTTGTTGATCCATCCCGGCTTGCATGGTGTGCTTGATATGTGGTACATCTCATCTTGCCAATCAGTCTATACCACATCTTTGCCAGGTCTCCCCACGCTGCCAGGCGGCATGGGCCAATGCAGTCGCGAATCCGGGGTTCCAGCACACGTGTCCGGTCTGGGGCTCGCGAGTCTGCATGGTGGTCTGTGTTTTGGGTCAAGCTGCCTCTGGGTCCCTTGAGGCCATGACGCAACTGTCTGCAGGGATCTGACTGACGCCACGGAACGAAACCGAGCATTGCCCAGCAGTCAGGAAGGTCGCCGGCGGACGAACGGAAGGAGGAGTATCAACGCTGTTGCGCGTTGCGTCCACAGTAGAGCATCACCGTGCCCACGGCGGCTTCGTAACGGACAAGCCGTGATACAGTGTGGTGACGGACCGAGTGCAGCGGTTGGTGGCTGTAACGGCGCCAAAGCACATGCTGGCGCCGGCGTCCATGACAGACGGGAAATGTCGTGGCGCGACGACGCTAAGCAGGAGGGACGCCATTATCAAGCGTGCGTCGAGCAATCGATGCTCTCCAATCATGGCGTGCCACTATATGCAAGACGGCTCGCCTCTCGGCCATTCATGTTGCGCGATGAAGCTTGAATGCGGTCAACCTGTAACTTGCGGCTCTGTCGCCAGCATGCTACTGGGCAGCTCCCAAGACCCAGAACATGCCATGAAGCAGCAGTTCGTGTAACCATCGTCTTCGGTGGCCAGTCAATGGACCCGCTGTACAGGCAAATGCTGGCCGATAGGCGCGATCACTTGCCTCTGTTGGGAAGCTGCAGCGAGAGGTCGGCGGCCATTGCAGGTCGCTTCGACCATGGGTTGCGGACAGACGTCGTCATCGTCGTCGGCGGACCACGGATCGAATCGCAGTCGGTCCTGACTCCTGAGGGCGCCGTCGCGCGGTCAGTTGTGGTTGTGGAGACATCGTGGGCAGGGACTTTTGGCGCCTACCCGGGAGTATCGACAACGAGATTGATGTCCTTGGGTACCCGACGAGTACCAGAATGCAGAATAGTTCCTGTGTGCTTCGTGGCTGCATTAAGTTTTTAATGAGATGGCCTCCGGTTGTTATCCTGTGACGAGCAGTCGAGGTACCGCGCGTTCGGGAAATCGTCCTTGTCCATTTTGTGCGGCGACAGATGATACTCTCGCGGTCCGTTTGTCAACACCGCTCAATATTCAAGACTTGACTCACACTGCAAGCAGCATTTGCCTCAAAAAGCAAATATTCATATACAAAAATTGATCCTGCTTGCGGTCTTTCCATCTTCTGAACCTATTATGGCAGACCCCGAGGCTTTCATCATAAAACTATGCGCAAAGTTTGTTGTGGAGCTCCGTATAAACTAAAATAGGAGAGCCGATTTCAACAACGTCCAACGGCAGTTGGCCCGGTTAGCTCAATCGGTAGAGCGTGAGACTCTTACGAGTACACGGTAATCTCAAGGTTGCGGGTTCGACCCCCGCATCGGGCTTTTCCTATAAGTACCATTCTTCGATTGGGGATTCATTTTTTTTGCCCTCGAGGCATCTCTCTTGTCCCCCCTGTCGAACACGGGCATTAATCTGTTCGCTCCTCTGCTCTTTTTTTTGTTGGTTGACTCATTTCGTGATCAGCCATATCGATGCCGACAGGCTGTTGCGTGAGTGCCTTGTTTGCAGCGCCCGCAAATCCAATAAACCCGCGATGAGTCGTCGCGACCAAGCCCAACGCAGACCGCCAATTGAGGACAAGGCCGATCAACCAGAATGCTACCGGTTGGCGTTTATGTGACGCGTGTCGCGCCTACGTCAACCGCAAGTGACAAGGCTGAGCTTCCGCCGCAATGCGGCCATGCTCCTCGCATCATCGGAAAGGGCCCAGGCATGCGGACGACTCAAGCTTCATCCTTTCCGAAGTTTATTTGCTGCCGGCGAGGTTTCCATCACTTGTAACACCGGCAGTTGGACCAGGTATTCCTCCGCGGGCCAACGGCGAGACGGTGCAGACAGTCACAGGGCTGGGGTGCGCAGCCCGAAACGCTCAGAATGCCGCGGGCCAGGGCACCGAGCTGAGACGGCCTTGCGACCTGCTTCTTCTGAGCGGCATGGCGTGCTGTACTCCGCAAAAGTCCGTCCTGGGAGGCAGGCAGGGGAGGGTGTTGGTTGCGGCCCGAAACCAACCGCCAACGCATGGATTCGCACGCAACGGAAGAGGGGCTTCCATTGCCACGGGATGGGGCTTGGACACTGCAGGACTTGACCGAACCGGTGAAGGCCGCTTGATATTGTGTGATTGACACAGCGCGCGATAAGTTTTGGCAACGAAACGCAACGCGGCGCGTGGCATAGCCTCGAGAGTGCGAACTGTGGAATGCCTCTTCGCAGCAAGTCGGTTACAGCGCAGTTGCGTAGTGTGTTCTGGAACAGCTCGGAATCCGTCCATTAATCCGCGGATGAAACGGGGGCTCCTCTCACAAGCGGCATGGGAGCTTCTGGCAGGCAGGCAGGGTGGGCGCTAGCGGGACACAACGCCCGCCAAACGCCGCCTGGCATTGCACTGGACGACGGACCCATGCCCACATAAGCCGTAGGTTGGGCGTCACCTCGCCTGGCGCGGGCGGCATTGGCGGGGGACGGCACCCGCAGGCCAGCCCTAAATCGCTCTTGGCTGGCGGGCAGCCCAGCCCGTGGACCTCCACTGGGCTCCGGGGGGTCCCAGCGGGCGCGAGGGATTGATTGACGATTACAGAGTCCACCTCAGTCCCCTCACCCCACTTCAGCCCATCACCAACACGGTCAGGGTCATCATCCTTCCATGCCGTCCGTGAGCCCTTTCGCATCCTGCTCCTGTCATTTTTGCAGTTTGCAACCACACGCACACAACTCGCAAGCACCAGCGTGGGCGCCGAATCGACGTCGTCTTCACCGGCAGCATCGCCGCCGCCGTCTGTCGAACAGGAAGCAGCCCGTGTCGCCGAGCCCCCGTCATAGGTCAACCACAGCTCATCGACTCGGCCGCTTATCTCCGCCTCATCGCGACCGCCAATGTCGCGCTGAAGCACGCCCTCGCACTCTGTCCGTGGCTATTGCGTAGCCATGGCGACCTCCTTTGACTTCAACAGCATGGCCAGGCGGGCCGACGCTGGCGATGCCGCCAACATGCCCTCGCCGCCGTCGCCTGTGCAGCATGATGCGCCGTCGCATCACCCGCACCACCCGAGCAATGTCACCGTCTATCAGACGACTGGCCCTGACGCTCATACTGGCCCAATTCTCGCGCCGGGTTCGGGCGCCCCGGCACTGAACCCGCGATCCTGCGTCACCTGTCGTCGGCGCAAGGTCCGTTGCGACAAGCAGATGCCCTGCTCCAACTGTCGTCGCGCCCTCATCCCGTGCGTCTTCCCAGCTCCAGGACGGGCGCCTCGTCAGCAGCGGCCCAAGGACCCAAACGCGCCGCCAAAGAACTCGACCCAGCGCGAGGTAGAGCTTATCAAGCGTCTGAGGAAGCTCGAGGGCATCGTGGAAGAGCTCAGCGGCCAGATAGAGGTTGAGTCAGGCAAAGCGCCTTCGACCGCTAGCTCTCCGACGGGTGCCTTGGAAGGTCTGCAGCAAAGGCAAGGATCCGGAAGCCTGGACTACCTCGCCACAGGCAGCCCGCTCTCGAGGAACCCCGACTCGACCACCGCTCAGGATAACGAAGCTGCCATGAAGAAGGATATGCAAAAGAACTTTGGTCGGATGGTCCTCGACGACCATAGTGGCACGCGACGATACGTCAGCAGTGGGTTTTGGTCCAAGTTGAATGACGAGGTACTTCCATGCAGAACCCTGCACAGGTCTTGCGGCGTGCTAATGAGGATGCAGCTGGATTCTATCCGCGAGGAAACGCAGCGTCTCACTGATGAAGACGCCGACGACTCGGAATACGAGGGCACACCTACAGACTCACCCGCAACAGGCGTTGGATCCCTCTCCGACCACCATTCGTTTGTGCTGGGGTACCGGTCGGCAGACGTGAGCCTGAAAAAGTGTCATCCATTGCCGTCTCATGTCACTTTCCTGTGGTCCGTATATCAGGAAAACGTCGAACCGCTGGTGAAGTTACTACATGTCCCAACCACGGACCTTGTGATGCGCGAGGCCAGGAGAAACAGCGACAAGCTCTCACCAGGGAACGAGGCTCTGGCATTCGCCATCTACTTTGCGGCAATCACATCTCTTGAACCAGAAGAGGTAGGCAGAGCCGATAGCCACATCGCACCCCGAGTAGTCCACTGACAGACAACCCTAGGTCGAGACCAACTTCGGCTCCAGCAAGGATGAGCTTCTTGCGCAATACCGATTTGCCCTCGAGCAGTCTCTCGCCAAGGCAAACTTTCTAGATACATCCGATATCGCTGTTGTTCAGGCCTTTGCTATGTTTTTAATTGTTGTCAGGCGCCACGACGAGAGTCGATTCTGTTGGGCCTTGACGGGTCTTTTGATACGCATCGCTCAGGGGCTAGGAATCCACAGGGACGGGACTCACTTTAACCTCTCGCCCTTTGATACTGAGATCCGACGGCGCCTTTGGTGGGCCATACTAATGCTGGACCTTCGATCAGCTGAAGAACTCGGCACGGACATGACGGTTGGCGAGCGGTCATACGATACGAAGATCCCCAGCAACATCAACGATGCGGACATCAGCCCTGAGAGCATCGAGCCGCCCGCCCCACGAGAGGGCCGGTCAGATGCTGCCGTATCGATCGTTCGGGCTGAGATTTGCATTCTTTCACGTCGCCTAGTCACGGCATCCTCGGCCATGGCTTCTCTCTGCCCCAAAGTTGATGAAGGCAGCCTCGAGGATCGAGAAGCTATGCTTATCGACGTATACCGGCGCATCGAAAACAAGTTCCTGCAGCACGTTCTTGACGAGACAGATCCTCTCTATTGGGTTGCCGCCATGATTGCTCGTGTCATCATGGCCAAGATGTGCCTCGTCATCTACCAGCCGATGCTCTTCCCCGGATCCAACTATGAGCTATCGAGCGAAATCAGGCAGCGCATCTACGTGGCAGCCATCGAGGTCATCGAGTATGGCCATAAACTGAACACCGACCCCAGATGCAAGCAGTATCGTTGGCTGTTCAAGACGTACACCAACTGGCACGCAATCGCGTATACCTTGATTGAAAGCTGCCGGCGACCGTGGACGGCGCTTGTGGAGCGAGGATGGGAAGCCGTCAACGGATACGACAAGGACCCCGTCGAGATTGCGAAGAGAGCAGACCACGCCGCCGTCTTCCTGCCACTCCGGAAGCTGTTCATCCGTGCCAGAAGGCATCGGGAGTCAGAGATTGCCCGTCTCAAAGCGAATCAGGAAGAGGCGCGTCGCCTGGACTTTGCTGAGCGCATGAACCCTGCTCAGGCGCGTTTCGGGCCGGTCCCTGGTGCCGAAAACAGGATGGAGCAGATCAGAGAGAAGTGGCGGATGCTGACACGGCCAGATGGTGCCAGCCCTTCGCCGTACACCTTTGCTTCTCAGCAGCCGTCTACGGGCGCGCCGTCGGCAGCGGAAGGCACGGCTTTAGCCGGTTCAATGTCGACCGATACGACGCAGTCCCAACATTTGAAGCCGCCGGGCGATCCCGTGCCTCTCCAGATGGATTTGTCCTTCGAGGCCATGCAGTACATGGACGACCTCATGTCTCAGCCGAACCTCAATATCGCAGAATTCTACAACGTTGCCGGCGACGAACCCAAAAATGCGAATCTGTCCTCTACAGCGAGTCCAATGCCCGGCTTTCCGAACCGCGTGACAGAGCAACAGGAAGCGGCCCTGCGACAGCAGGCGCTCACGCTTCAGACGCAGCCGCCCAAGGACAGCCACGTGCCGCCGTACCTGTGGAGCGACCCGTTCACCGTGATGAACACAAAGTTTGAAGACAGCCAAGTGGTGGAGGATACGGACATGCTCGGTGACGACTTCAACTGGCAAGACTGGAGCCAGAGCATACGCGGACTGGAGATGGAGAGCACGGATCCTCAAAAAGGATGGTGACGGGCCAGAGTGCCAATGGAGACGCTGGATATGAAGATATGATGGCGAGGTGTTTGGACTTGGGCTGCAATCGTGATACTCTCTGCAGGTGGTTTGTGGCGTTTGGGCGGCTGAAGGGGCGATCGTTTTGGAGTGTACGATACGAACATCCTCGCAACAAGGGGAACCATGGACAAACGATCATGGAATATATTTTCTCAGCTCGAATGCCATCTCGCCCTGCCATGTCTTTGCTCTGTTGGTGCCGTCAGGCCAGTTCCGACTGCACAGGGCGTTGGAGTTGTGGTGCTGGGGAGCCTGGCCACACGTCCGGGCCACCTGGGCAGGCCCTCAGTCGCTGCGCCGCTGGTGGCCAGCCTGTGGCCCCACCCGTGACGGAGCGTCAGGCAGCTGTGAGGCGGTCATGTGACCCGCTCTGAACGCGTTCACTTGAAGTGCACCTCTGCCTTCCCTCACAACAAACTCCCAATCTCCCTCAAACAAAACCCCGGAAGTCACCATTCGCGACCGTCCCTGGAATCACGGCGAAAATGGATCCGGGACGTCGCGCAATGTTGGGCGGCCAGGGCTCGTCGGGCCGCAAGGGAGACGAGCGAGACATCACCGGCCCTCGACCCGACTCCAGCAACAGAGTCACCAAGTCCACCAAAGGCGACCAGCCATCCAAGACGGCCCAGAATTTGGCCCGCTATCTCACTTCGGACGAGCAGTCCCGCCAGTTCGTGGCCGACGAGGACAAGTTCGTGCTCAGACAGTCCAAGAAAAAGGCCGACATCCGCGTCCGCGAGGGCCGGGCCAAGCCCATCGACTATCTCACCTTCAACCTCCGATACATGGAGGAGCATCGCGACGCCTTTGATGACCAGGATGACGACCTCGACATCGATCTCAAAGACCCAGCAGCGTACATTGAGAGCCTTACCCGCGCCCAGATTACCGAACTCATGGGCGACATTGCCTCGTTTCTTACCCTCGAGGTGGACGCATCCAACCGCCAGTATTGGGAGGCTCTACGCACGATCTGCGCCATGCGAGACTTTGACCTGGATCCTGTCAGACGAGAGGAAAAGGACCGCGCGTACGGAGTCACCGCCGACGTACTCTCCGAGAACCTCAAGGGACAATCGTCCGTAGGGCTCGACATGTATGAGACTCGAATTCGGGCCGCCCTCGCCGGTGATAAGTTCATCGACAGAGAGTATCAGTCGTACGTACTTGAGGATGTTTTGTTCTACAAAGCCAAAAAGGTCGTCGAGGGCATCTTCAACAAGATGTCGGAATCGCGAGAGAAGCTGCTCAAGGAGCGGGGCCCGATCGCACGATCCAGCGCAAAGGCAGCGGTCGTTGGCCAGCCGGATGAAACAGCGGATGCTGCTGCCATCGCCGAAGAAAAGGCCGTTGCGGTGTCTGCGAATGCTTCCGCCGCAGGCAACGAAGATGCGTCCCTGGCAACCAAAGCCCTCTACGATAGAGAGGCAGCCCAGGGTTTGCTCGAGAACGAAGAGGTCTTCACCACCGAAGCCGCCATTCCTGACCGGAAGAAGCCAGAGTGGGCTGGCAGGTACAAGGCACGGAAGCCACGCTACTTCAACCGTGTCCAGATGGGCTACGAGTGGAACAAGTACAACCAGACACACTTCGACCATGACAATCCGCCGCCCAAGGTTGTCCAGGGCTACAGGTTCAACATCTTCTACCCCGACCTTGTCGACAGCACCAAGACTCCGACATACAAAATCTTTCGCGAGGGCGGACGCAAGCGGGGCGAGTCGCATGCAAAGGCCGGAGAGGAGGACACCTGCCTCATTATCTTCATTGCGGGACCCCCGTACGAGGACATCGCTTTCCGCATCGTTGATCGCCAGTGGGACTTCAGTGCGAAGAAAGAGCGCGGCTTCAAGAGCACCTTTGACCGAGTGAGTGGATGCCTGCGGGCCGCGTGAGGACATGTGCTGGAATCTGAAGATGCTGACCAAGTGATTTGCAGGGCATTCTCCAGCTGCACTTCAACTTCAAGAAGGTACTTTCCCGGCAGTTTTCCTCCAAGCCAATCCCGTACAGGCGCTGACGAAGCTCTCGATGAAGATATTCTACCGCAAGTAACTTGCACTTGCACCTGGTCGGCTCCCGCGTGCGACGGCTGCGGCAGCCTGCGGAATGCTTACCTACCCCATGTGACTTTGTTTCGAATACCCCCTCGGTCTGGCTGCTTCGCGGCCATTTGATGTACGGCGCGAGGACCTGCGATATGGCTGGCAACGCCAGGTGACACGATGGAAAACGCGGGAGGAATCGGTCTAGGCGACGGCACAGCCAGTAATTTTCGGTAGTCAGAGGTGTTTCGATGGACCCTGGACGACGACGGGCCACCTCCACGGTTCATAGCTTCCAAACACCTTGATCGGCTAACGAGAGCCTCCTCGGCACATCCCCTCGTGCAACGGTGAAGGGGTGTTCGGTGCCTCTGACGGTGAGAGACACCCCCACTAATTATCGTGTAACGCTGTCGGGCAATGCCACGGCTGGCACGACGGGGGTAGATTCGAGCCCTGGACCGCATCCGTGGCTTTATTCCTCTTTGCCCTGAGTGCTGGATGTCGCCGGTGGCAGCTGGCTTGTGTGCCGTGAGGACGGCTTCTGGAACGAGTTTACTCCATGGAAGGGCAGGGACCGAGCAGGGGTGCTTCTCCTCGGCAGCTTTGACGCTGCCCAAGACGCCGAAATCACATCGCTTTGCCTGGCATGGGGTGCGGCACAGGGGCGTCACCGCCTTTGAGCGTCAAGTGGATGGGCTCGACGGTCGCGAGGATTCCCTTCCCCCGCGGTACCCATGGCCGTCGCATCGTCAGAACCGCCGCCACGGTCCTGGGTCAGGTCTGGACGGGGGCCCCGTCCTGGGCAAGGATCATTGCCCACCGACCGACTCCCGCAGCTTCGGGCACAGCGAGGATGATGTGCAGCAAAGGGATGGAGTGTCCTCTAACTGGGGTCGTTATAGCAAGGCCTTAGTAAACCGGCATCACCCGTCACTGATCCTCTGCGAGGCCAGGTTGCCTTATTGGCCGGCCGAGGCAAACGTATTGGCTTTTCTCCTCCGCCCCGGGCCATGGCAATATTCCTTCCAGCCACATCCTGAGAGGGCGGAGCCGATGCAGCCATGTATTCATCAGCCTTGCGTTGACCTACGAGAGCCGGGACGTTCTGAAGGTGCTGGTGGGTGTACAAAGTACACGGTCTGAACCAGGCATTTTCTGATGCATGAGACCTTGGACGATTCTCGAGCGGCGATACACTGCATTTATAAACGGTCATTGACTTCTAGTGCCGGCGTTCGAAGTGGGACAGGGCTCATCAGGGCCGACGCGAGAGGGAGGTGCTGGGCGAGATGGGCAGATGCTGAGGGTCGCACAAGGCATCGCCAACTCGTTCCATGGTGGCTCCCGTCATTCCCTCGCCCCTCCTTCAATCTTGTCGATGCTGGCCGTCCCAACGCACTGTCTGCCGCAGTCCTGGCGGCAGCTCCACCTCCCCGGATGCGGCCATCGCGGCCAGGGTCAACACTCGGGGGTGCCCAACCAACACGGCCAAGAAGCAAGTGCCAGGCACGAGCACACGACACTGGTCGAACCACAGCCAGGCCGAGCCCCTACCCCGAGGGGAACTCAAGCCCAGGGTCGAGGAACGCCCGGCACGTATCAGAGGCAGTGCGTTGTGCGCGGCCCTGTCTCCTCGGTACTTTGTACGCTTCCAGGCATACGTCCACGGCGGCATTGCGGCTATCAGGCCCAGGTTGCAAGTACAAAGAATACCCAACAAATGTGTGTCGGCAGTCACAAGGTGCAGGCGACACAGGCGTACGTGTGCGAAGGACGCGGTCGTCTTTGTATGCAACACGGCCGGCCAGGCTGGATGATGGTACGCAGACTTGGGGCGACAGGATGAAAGGCGCGCCGACCAGGCATGCATTCTCTGGGGCGTCAGGCTGGACGGGACTGCCAGGTCCCCTCTATTCCAACACGCCCCCATGCAGGCCCTGTGCTTTACTCAGTTCACACCCAACCCTTTCCGACTGCACTCTTTGATCCCAGGACGCAAGACTCTGCCCATAGATGCCATCCAAGAGGCAGCGAAGCCAGATGTCCGGGAGTTTGAGCGCTGACTGGACGCAATCAGTCTCGATCCATCTGGGCTGCATGGACATGCCCCTGCTCACCCTTAGCTTCGCCCGCGCCTGTAAGTCGAGCTTGGACACGTGCGGCTCTGGGAATAAGAAGTCAGGCGGGACGCATTTGCTCTCCCGCGTCACTCCCTTGACCGCCGACGACATCGCCTGGTCCCCCTCAGACCACAGTCATCCTGAGTTCCCGCCTGCCGCGTGTACAGTCCTGTGGTCGTTTGTGTCACCGCCATCCGCGGTCACCAGCTGTCGGCGTGTTGTCCACGGTTCATCCTAGGTCCCCCTCCCCCCTCCCAACGCCCGGGCGGTCACGACTCTGCCCCAAAGGCCGTGGTCGTCCTTGGTCCTGGTCACGCTGAACGGCAACAAAGGCGAACTGGACCACTGCTGTGGCGACGGCAAACCCGGCCTCCCGCCCTTCCTACGCATCACACCTGACTCTTTGCTCCTCCCTCAACCGCCATGGATCCACCATTCTCTAACGGAACGGAGTCTCTGAGCTACACGACGACTCCCTCGCGGACCGGATCCGGAGAGATACCATCAGCATGCCGACCTGGCTGTGCTGAGACGGCAGCGGCTCTTACTATATCATCATCGCCGGACCTAATGGAACAGCTGCATTTGAATGGGCTGGACTCACTCTCTCCGGCTCAGTCTCGCGACATCCCGGAGCAACAACATCTGCAGCCGTCGCCGCAACAGCCGCGCGCGTTCTTGGCTACCGAAACCCCATTCACAACCGCTAATCAGGCGTATCTTCGGCTACGAAGCCAGAGAACGTGGCCGTCGCCGCCGCCGGCCTCAGCCGAGTGCGAACAGAGCTGCCTGAACGCTGATTCACTAACTCCGGTGAGCACGTACGTGCAAAACTACACCTGCTCACCAGCCACACCGGACACCTGGTCACCGACTTCCTCTCTGCCTGGCCCAGTGCCGGCGCTCCGGAAAACCCAAACCTGGTCGAGCCAGCAAGACATGTTTGCGAACTGCGCGCCGCGGGCTCTGGGAAGCCTTGCGACCGGTTCGGACGGCTCAAGTCCACACGCAGACTGCCCCGGCGACTTTGATAGCCTGTCAACGGCTCCTCCAGGGCTGAAAATGGAACGCTTTGATGCCGACGTGCTGTCCCCCGAGGAGTTCATCATGGCAACGCCGTCATCCGACATGGCGCCCAAGGTCGAGTCCCCATCGGCATGCCTCCAAGATTTGCCTGGGGTGCATCCGAGCACGTCGTCAATGTCGCCCGCGACTTGCGTGGAGAACCGGGATGAGCAAGGCAAGCTCGACGAACCCTACGCGAAACTGATATACAAGGCGTTTATGAGCCGCGAGGACCACGCCATGTCGCTGCAGGACATGTACCAGTGGTTTCGCGACCACACAAACAAAGCAGTCACGGAAAAGGGTGGCTGGCAGAACAGCATCCGCCACAATCTGAGCATGAACGCAGTAGGTCGCTGTTGAGCTGTCCGTCCAGGCCAGAATGTATCGCTTACACCCGGAACATCAGGCATTTTCGAAACGCCGCAAGGATGACGGCACCCTCAACGCCGTGTCGGAGGACCCAAAACGGGCCAACGAGTGGGTGCTGGAGCCGTGGGCCGTCCAAAACGGCGTACAGAGCACAACAAGATACCGCAAGGGCAACTCGCGCAGGCGGCCGGGCGGACGGTTGAGCAACCAGCAGTACCCGCGGCTGCCCACCCAACACAGCGCGAAACGAGCCGTGTCCGGACGCAAAGGCGGCTGTGCGGCGAGGGAGTCGAGGATGAGGGACCGTGCCGCGTACGGCCAAGCAGCCACGCCCATGGGCCGCTACTACGGGGGGCTCGAGCATCCGCAAGGGCTCCCTACTCCCCCGCGATCGACCATGCCGGATCTGTACCACCCCGAGAGCTATGCAATGCCGCAGTTCGAGCCGATGACCCATGTCCAACATTTCGACGGTATCGCCCCCCCTGCGGGGCCCGTTGCGGAGCATCAATTTGGGCTCCTGCTGGGGCCGGCCAACGCCGGCATCGACAGCACGGGACACGGCATGGTCGTCGTTGGCACGAATGGGCAGGACGGCATGAGCGGGGACCCTATGAACCAGATGTCGGCCTACAGGCCGGCGCCACCACCGCCTCTGCAGGGCCACCACGGCGCGTATCCGTACGGCGCGAGGGGGCTGCAGATGGCGGCGGCATACCACGGCGAGCGCCAGCACCATCAGGAGCAACAGCAGCAACATCAGCAGCAGCCGCCGCCGCCGCCGCCGCCGCCACACCAAGGCCCTGGCGATCTGTGCTGCGCAAGTACCGCCTCTCGGCTTTTCGAGACCTTGCCGGGCGGCATCTGTGATTGGGCTGATGGCGGCTTGTAATGGGCTTCCCATGCCCGACGTGGTGATGGAGTGTTACACGACAGGAGAGGGCAAGGGCCTCAGATGCCCAGGGCAGACTCCTCGCTCCGCGGCCGCTCCCGTCGCCGCGACTGGGTAAGGGAGATGGACTGTCGAACCAAGAAGCCTTGATGAAGGCTGCGAGCCCGTCGACTGGTTGGTGAGCATCGCCCAGCCTTTGGCGGCGGGCGAGCGACACGCATAGCAACCGCGCCTGTGGCCGAGAGACATGCATGCCCACGAGGGCCACGACAACTACGGCGTCGACCGCGGGCCGTTTTCTGGTCTCAGAGACCCGGTGAGCGGTGCCGTGTGACGCACACTCTCTGACCAACAGGGGCAGAAGCCGAAGGACGCACGGGGATGTCTATTGGGTGGTTTGCACGGGGGGGGGTGGCGATTATCGCACTTTGATACCAACAAGAGCAAAATGGAGAAGATTAGGAACAAGACCAGAAGGAGTCTTGCTCAGTCCTCAAGCCCACCCACGCACGCACGCATACAGTACAACGGCCAACGCACTCTCAGACTGCTTTCGGCTCTCGTTCTGAACCTTCAAAATGGACCATGCAGGAACCAACAGCCATAAGCAAAAAGCAACGTTTCGTCAGTGAGAAGGGCAGCAAGGCAGCAGGAAAGGGATCCAAAAACAGAACAAAAACAACAATTGTGTCGCGCCTGTCGGTCAACTGGCACGAAGTCGACCTCGCAGCAACTCGCGTGAATAGCCCGTCCCTGGTGCAGGCAGCCCGGTGATCTGGCTCCGTCGCAGAGGAGGGCGATCTACCAGGGAGGATCTTGATCGCTTTTGCGACATGTAATTTCTTTACCCCCTCTCCTTTCTTGCATCGCGGCTTTTGGTTGTTGTCGTTGTTTCTCAGGCACACTGGCAGTCCCGCGCCATCGGGTTGGGAGCTCGCAGGCACACGCACATGCATACAAGGAAATCTTGGGTCAGGATCTCTGCTATTTGGAATTCGAGGGCATTGGACAGACGATAGGGAGCACGGACGTGGGAGGCCATCTTGTGCCCGTTGGGACGGAAATGCGGCGGCTTGGCCGTTGGCCCAGCCATCCACAGATCCATGGATGGATACTGCCCGCGCAGCCACCAGCGCCCTCTTGCGGCTTCTCGTGCAGCCGGCCGACTTGAAGACCCAATGAGGCCCCCTCGCATCGGCGAGGGGACGTGGCTCCGCCATGTGCTGGGCCGTGGTGGCTGCAGGTCCTTGCCCTGCAGCGCGAGTGGTGCCGAGTCCGTTTCCATTTCTCGTTGTGAGCATTTGCATTTCTTCCATTTGGGGACGTTGGCAGCGGGCGGCTACCGCACGCGGCTCATGGTGGTTATTGCCTTTTCCGTCTTGCAGGGTCTTTTCTTGTCTTGTCTCCCTCCCCTTCTTCCTTCCCCCATTTCCTTGCCGTCTCTGCTGCAGTTTTGGATTACGTTGTGGAATCTTGCGGTGGCCTTCTGACTTCGAGTTTACGGTCTCATACTGGAGGAGCATGTAGAGCACGGCCGGCAACGGCAACGCAAGCATCTAGACCGGTGGCATGGCTTCGAGTGTGGTGAATGGCTGGAGCGAGGGAGGGAGGCTAGCTATCTCTCCCCGTGGGCCCTCGACAACGGACTTTGGCCGCGTCCTGGTTATTACCGCCCACGTTTTCCGGCGTTGCTCTGGTTAATGAATTACCGTGATACGAGTTTATTTGCAATAGAACACGCAGCATCTCGCAATGATTTGTCTTGGTCGCGCGACTCCCCGTCTGCTTCGTGGGGTCTCGTCTCTTCTGCATCACGGAGATGGCGGAGTTGTCTTGATCGACCCTGTGCGATTTGGCATGTGCTATTTGGCATAAACATGTTGGCCCACGTCGATATACTGGGATGGCGTCAACGAGAGGGTCGACTTACATTACTTACGCGCAGAGGAGCGGCCGGAGCGCGTCTTGTTGCAAGGGGCGGGCGGCTCCCGGGACGAGACAGAGAGCGAGAGCGAGATGCAGAGCCACCCAACGGCAGGAGACGCCGTGGCCGCAGCGCCGGGAAAGCGCCGCGCCGGGAACAGTTTACGCCCCCTACGGCACCCACACACTTTCTCCTGCGCATGCAACAGACGTGCAGTATCGCCAGAGGTTGGGGGCCCCTTCGAAGACCCAACAGACCAACCGGCGGCACCGCCATGCCCCTTCTTCGCCACAGGTGTATAAAACCAATGAGAAGGGAGAGAGGAAGGGAGGGACATATGCAGCAATGCTTTCTGTTAGTCTGTAGGTAGTTCGTCTTGGCCTTTTGGTTGCCGGGAACCGATATGTATGGGCACGGAGCGCCGCGGCCACGGCGAGCCAGCAAGGAGCCGCCGGCCTGCAGAATCGGGTTCTCAAAGACGTGCGTCGGTGCGCGGAACGGGCCTGCGCTTTCCTGGGCGTGCATGAACCTATCTACGTACTTCGTGTGGAGGGCCCATGTGCGTCGTGGTGGTGTCAATCCTGCGAGATAGACCAGACGGGTTGCTGTTACCCGTCTTTGGCGTGCACTTGGATACGTTGACACTGAACATGAAGATGCCGACAACCACTTCTAGAACTAGCACGGGAGGGCCAGAATGGCAGCATAGACCTGAATGTCCAACGTACTGTGTTGTTGGGAGGCAAGAAGGAAGGGGGTAAGGGGAAGGGGGGAGGGGGTGGTGGGGAATTGAGCTCATCCAGGGACAGGAGGCAAGGTAGGGGTGTGATGTGGCCACGCGCGCGCCATGCCCACGGACGACGGCCGACGGCCGACGAGAACCGAGCTTTCGCGGGGGGGATGGGGGCGAGAGGCGGGATTTGGAGTTCTGTCACCTAACTACACAGATTGGCATCGCTCATGCAGGCGACGGGAGCTTTTCGCGATGGGCTTAGGCTTATCTTGGTTAACGTCCCCCCCCAACATTGGAGACGAGCACGCGACGAGCACGCGGCAGGGTGAGAACGGCGTGGGTGAAGAAGGGGTGTTTGCCGCCTGGCCGTTTCCACCGGCCGTTCTACACATGGAATCTGCAGCATGGGCGGCTGAGCCCGTTTGTTTGACTCTTTAGATGTTGATATGTGCATACATGTATGAACGAGGCACGAATTGGACGGAGGGTATGGAGGCTCAGAAGTTGGCGAGCTCACAACCACCACCCCTCTCCGCGGCGCGGCGGCGGCGCGCCCTCCAGTTCCCGACGTGGGGGATTTCTCATGCTGCAGTCTGACTGACCCTATGCTGTGCTGCGCTGTGCTGCGATCCTTCTCCTCGGAACCCTGCCTCGTCCCCTTTGCTTGGCCTGCATGAACGGAGTATTGATTTGACATGAGGGCGAGAGGAGAAGGAGGAAGGACGAGGGGGGGAGGGGCAGCGGCGGGGAGAGATGGTCTGGTGGAGGAGCACGAGAGAAGGAGGGTGGGTGCGTGTGGAGAGGGTGAGGGTGAGGGTGAGGGAGAGAGCCGGAGGGGCGGAGACGAGGGCGGCAGTCTCAACTCCCGACTGCGAGATGCACAGTTGCACTGTATGTAAGATCAGGATCTGTTTATGTGCTGCTTGGGCCAGTCTGCAGCACACACACACACATAGCCCACCCACATCATCTACCGCCGCCCTGCCTCCTCCGTTTTTGTGTCAGTGCTTCCAATGTTACGTCTGATCTCCAGTCGTCAACAGCCCCTGATGGCCCGTCCGTCTGTGCTGTCCGTCCGTCCGTCCGTCCGTCCGTCCGGGGTGCGTACTCAGCCGTCATCGATGCGCAAGGCGAGTTGAGGGCCGATGGTCTTGCATTACGGCCGGTCCACGTTGGCTACTATTTCCGGTTTCTGTCCAGGAACTCCGCCGCCAACTGCCTACTACGCGTGCTCCTGCACGTACGTACTAACTGTACCTGGCACGGGCTGCAATGTGTTCATTGTACGTAGGTACAGTATGTAGTACGTGGTAGATTCTTAGGTGCATTTGGCACACGGTGTACATGTACGTGTGTTTGGTGTATGTAGTGCGCGAGGATGGGGGCATGATGATTATGATGACGACGATGATGCAGGAGACAAAGTGGTCGATGAGAAGTCAGATGCTGCACTGTCGACAGCGGCGGACAAGGGGAAACAAGTGTATGTACTGATTCATGGGAGGCAAGGCAGGAAGTCGACGTTTAGATGGCGCGCTGTTGGACGGACGGAGGACGGAGGGGGGGAGACGCCGTCCCGTCTGCCCCGGTGTAAGGGAACCCCCATTCTGATCTTGTGTTGGGTCGCCGCGGGTGTTCGTCACTCCCACTCCCAACAGTGACAAGGAGTAAGTGGGCGTGCTCCAACTTGTTGATAATTACTCTGTCAGACACGCGTGTTCGGGCCACATGATCTGGCTCGTGACGGGCTGGCTGACCCCCAAAGTTCTATGTTTACGACACCCTACTACGAAGCGCCGTCTGGTCTCACCGCGCGGAGAGCGCGACCGCGTGCGGACAGCGCGGAACATGGGACCGGGGGCGGTCGCCCGAGACCAGACCCGCGACCCCGTGCAGTCGGTGGCGGTGACACCAAAACACTACGACGTGAGAGTATCCCAGACCCAGACCCAGACCCAGACGGTTTTTGAGCGTACAGGAAAAGGGGGAAAAACAAAGGCGGCCACTGCTTGTCTCTCCCACTTTTTCTTAGCCCCCCTCTGTGCGACCATGTCTCGGGAAGTATGACAATCGGACCGTTGAGGCGGCGCTCTCGGCCGTTTGATCGACCCTGACGCAACTGCAACGCCAGTTTACAACGGCGGGCGGGCGGACGGTGCAAACCAGACTGGCCTGGGAGACTGGAGAGAGAGAGGGAGAGGAAAGGGGGAAAGAGAGACCAGGCCGGCCATGCCGGCCGCGGGAGTGACATTTGCGGCGCGCCCGATGATGCATTGGTGTCCGACAGGGCCTGCTGGGGGACTGAGTGGGCGTCACGGCTCGACACACTGTATGCGTATGTATGTATGTATCTAGGTAGGTATGTGTGCGTGCGTGCGTGTGCCTGTAATGTATGGCATGAGAGTGATGTCCCGTCGACGGCCAGCTGCGCGGCCCAGATGCACAGAACAGGGCTAGGGGAGGGGAGCGAGGCCTTGGTTGACCTACACCGAACTCGCCGAGCGTTGCACATGGTGAGTGATGATGATGCCACATGGTCATCAATGGTACGAGTTCGGCAGCGGAGTGGGTGACCCCGATTCAGCTGATGGCGTGTCTATAGCCTCATCGTTGTGTTGTCAACGCGTAGAAGCCCGTAGTCTACGCTCGCTGCTGTGCCATGTGGCGGGATTGACGGGAGATGCTCGACTCGTAGTTTATCCAGTCGCAAGCTTGTATGAACTACTCGCGGCCGCAGCCTGCCATCGCTCAGCGCGGGCAGACGCATGTATTCCAGTTCACCTGCGCCATTCCACTGGATGCGTCCACGCTTCAGCTCATCTGCATTTCTCACTCCGCTTCGCGCCAGACCTCTCCCGATCATCCTTTCGTCGTACTTGGGGGCTTGAAGCCCAGGAGTGGCCTGGCTGGAAGGGGGCGTCTGACGTCCGAGCAACGAGTGCATGAGGTCTGGTCCGCCCAGTCCGGGTCTGCTGCAGCACCACGCAGAGTGCGAGCCCACGCGTGTCATGGTGTGGCGCTGCGTGGACTAGGATGATGGAGTCGCTGTGAAATAAGTAAACGCCTCAAGTGAGGTACGTGGCGAGCCGGCCTTTGCGGCATCAATGGCTTCCATGTCACTCCCTGTTCGTGGGCGGAGCGGCCGTCGCATAGGGGACCATGTATCGGCGGAAGGCGAACAAGGCAGGCCCCTGGCCGGAGTCGAGTCGGCATAGGGCGGCCTTGCGGCTTGCATGGGAAAGATGGCAACTGCCTCAGAGAAAACTCTTTCCATCTGCGGGCGCAGGGCACGGCTGCGTATTCCTGTACGGGAAAACGAATAATATGTCCGCCGCTCTCATGACCTGGGGCTGGGGCCAGGGAGGGGGTGTCTCCCTGTGCATCAAATGTCTCTCGATGCCCTTTGCCCAAAAGTATCCTGAATCATGGACCCGTACCTGTCACTTGGCTAGTTTCTGACGACTCCACGCCCACGGGACAGGATGCGATCGTCGGTCATGGCATCGACCCAAGGTCCTGGTCGACTGGACCCAGACTACCGGTTGACCCAAATCCCCGGACCTGGTGACCCTGCGAGCGAGCCCTGGGGCCGGGACCGCGCCATTCGGTCCCAGAAGCCAGGTTCACGGGAGGCAAATGACTCAGGGCTATTCCTTTCCCGGCTGGGGGTCGTTTGTTCACATTGGACCGCCCCGCGAACGTGAAGATGCCTCATGGCTCGCCGTGACTTGCTCGCCGTTTACGTGTACCCCTTCGGGGATCGGCCGGCATAATGCCAAGTTGTCTCTTGTCCCCAGCCATTGCGGGAACAGGAATGTACGGCAGGCCAGGTTTTCTCTTGTATAAGGTATCTGATAGGGCTTTCCACAGCTCAACATGAACACGCCATCTGTGGACGTCGGAAGGGGGGTGTTTCTTCATGTGAGCAGTTGTTGCACAACTCGTAGGCCAACGTATCAGGCGTGGCCGCTCCGCAAACGGCTCTTGTTGTCTCGAAGAAATAGTGCAGAATAGTGTGCAAGTCGACCGGAGTCGACGATTTGAGCTTCTCGAGTGCCGAGCCGCTGCTGTACTGGTAGAAACACGAATTGAACGCGACCTGTCATGAGTGCATGAATGCAATGCGAGATTATGAACGTACATGGAGCGTTGTTGTCTCCTCCTTGAATGTCCTGTCCACGCAGGAGCTACGGCGCCTTCTTTCAAACCCAGCCCTGGCGCGCGAATACCGTTGTGGCTTGGTGTGCAGGAGGTTTGGAACCACATACATAATACTTTGACCTGGTCAGGAGAAAAGGAACCCCCCCAAACGACGAGGAGGAGACCATGTTTTACAGCCAAAATACAAAGTACTCCGTATCAAAAAAGTACAAGATTTCTGCAGCATCAAGAAAGCTCGATTCATGCGCGCCACGACATGTGCATGCAGAAGCGCCACTCCCGGGCTCTCCAGTCTTGCGCTGAGACCCCCCCCTGTTCGTGAAGATCTGCATTGACACACGAGCAAGCGTGTTAGGCCATTGGTCCTTGGACGAGCGTGGCGATCTGCCGTGTCACTTGCAGCCTGCAGGCCGTGCCGTGTTGTTTCCACTCCTCTTTCCTGTGGTCCGGACGAACGAACGCCCTGGCAAGCCTTGTTTCAGTACTTGGAGGAGGTGTCGGACGCCACAACGCCTGTCGAAAACATTAGACGCGGGCTTCGCGAGACGGCCCAGACGCAAGGCTGAGCTGGTCCATGTGCCTGGCTCTATGTGTCCTCGACAGAACCCAGCAGTGAGCACCTGGCGGGGGCGTGGGAGACCGCCTGACCGGTCCGCTGGTAAGGTTACACGGCATACGTGGTCGCTTGAACAGGCATATGCTCTTGAGGCTGGGAAGTCTGGGCGTGCAAACAGAAGATGCGACTGTACCCTTGTTTGGGCCCTTTGGGAGATGATACGGGAGAGCAGCGACGGCAGGCTCGCACCTCGCTTTCACATTCGTAATTGTTCCCTTGGCAGATACGACGAGTCGGCAAGGACTGGTTCGTATGGACGGCCCCGACGCGTTGATTTCTGGGTACTGCGAGACCTTGGCTCGGCGCGAGCTGATGCACACCGGTAAGGTGCGACACAGCGTCCAAGACGTAGGCGGCGCCGTAAAGCACCGCTCCTGTCACAAGTCCCTGGGAACACCGCATGGTGACAGCTGCGGAGTGTCCGAGCAACAGGTGCTTGGGGCATATACAAGCAGTAAGTTTACTCTCGAGGTATTCACTCCTCGCCCTAGAGTAATGACTGAATACATGTAGGATCGTGATCTCTCCGGTGTGCCGTCGGACGGGATGCTGGGCTTTGGCATAGGGGCACATCGTCCTTCTTATCCTCTCCAGGCCACGGCGGCTCTACACGCTGCGACGTACAGAAGGTCACATGTGGTGCCGAAAGCGCATCGAGACTCTGTCCCGTTGAAATGAAATCAGCACATGTAGAAGTGCCAGTCATGTGTCATGTCGAACACTGCACCGCCTGACAGTCGTCAGCGGCACTCAAAGTGAGACGTTTGAGACACATGTCTCAAATGCTGTACGCTGAAGCCGCTTGTGGACTGTATTTCACACGAACATGCTAGTGGCAATGTCTGTTGGCTACTGAAACGACGTCGGCGTTGATGCCCCGGCCAAGAGAGCGGACAGTCCAGCGTCAACTCTAGTGAGGGGTCCCGAGCCGCTCATATGTGGCAAGAGTAAGTGTGATAGCCGGGTTTTATGGCACTTGGAGAAGAAGAAGAGGCTTCGTACAAGTAGCGTAGCGAGCTCCTAATACGATGTTGGCCCGCACTAAGTTAGTAGCGGACTACATTTAATGCATCGAGGACCTGTCCTCTGTGAGCGCATTGCGCATCAAGATGAGGTAGAGCACGAAACTCTTCTCTCAACCCGGCCACGTGTATGACCTGAAAGTCACTGTCGCGGCCAGCTGGCGACATGATAGTGACTGTATACGTACATGTTCGCGTCTACACTTTGCCACCTTGAAAAGCGTGGGACGGCATGAAGATAACACAGCTCATACGATAGTCTCCGGGGCTGTGCTAGCACGAGGGATTAGAAGTGGATTATTATTGAGAAGGCGCAAAAGTTTGCATGCTTTGTTCATGCAGTGCTCAGTCGTCTGAAGTCGCCGACGTCAAATTCCCACATGTAGCTCCTCGCATCCAGCCCGGTGTTCTCAATGCAGGCGGTTTCTCCGGGTGTCGACAATGAAGCGAAAAAGAATGTCACCGCTTTAGGGCCTTACCGGGTGCGCAATGCTATAGGCAGCTGCTCAATATTTTCATGTTCATGCATGATTGCACGATGAACCGTTTGTTCCCCGCGGCATTGACTTGTCAAGACAAGTTATCTCCCGAGACTAGAGGTCAACATATGTGGCAGCCAATTGGCATTGGAGCTGTGGCCCTTGCAACATACGACCACCCAACTGTGCGGCACAGAACAAAGCATTTGAACCGTCCATGTCCTATGCGACCGGGCGGCAGGCCCGGACACCGCTGCCGTAACGTTCATCGCTGCATTGGGGTGCTCGCTCCAGTTGGGGCAATGCGCGCGGCGGCGACACAGCACAGAGATGAGATGAGCCGCGATTATGCCCCGAAAACAGCGCAGACGCGTCCGGCTCTCCCCGGCCCGCTGGAAAAGCGAGGCTGCTTCGGCTGGCTCTGTGGTAAGACCAAGACCACCAAGAAGCCCCAAGGGCCTCTGCCCAACTGGTACATGCCTGCTACTCCCAACCCTCCGAATCCGGGGACGGTCCCCTACTGGGACAGGCCTGACAAGTGTCGCCCGCGCGAAGAGACGCGGACAGTCCTTTGCTTTCCCGGCCTGCGCATGCGGAGCGTCATTGAACCCCTCTGGAAGAAAGCCTGCGCCTCACACGCCGTTGCCCGTGGACGCTGACCTCCGTCCGGACGAGGATCAGCTGGAGGTGCATAAACCTAGAAGGCCAAGCCAGGGTAAGGCAAACCCGGCGACCTATGCAACGCGCCCTTCCCCGCCTGGGACACTGGTATGAGTGGGATATCTTGCGAACGAGCGGCACAGGCTTGGCCGGATACCGGTGCCGCAACTTCGGTGGGCGTTCAATCGCTCATCAAGGCACATCAATGCGCGCCGGCGGCCACACCGAGGTGAGCGCGATTTGTGCCCAAAGACTCGCCAGCATGGCCGCGACTATAAAGATGAACGGCGTTGAAGGTGCTTCTCGTCTGGTAACTTCACCTGCGAGAGAAACACCTCGCACGGACAACACAGACACACATACACGTACCCTTAGTCCAGAAACATCATGAGGGTCGCTTCGGGCCTCGTTCTGGCCCTTTCCGCCTTGGCCCTGGGACGGGCGATCCCTCCCAACGAATGCAGCCATGAGGTTCAGGATGCGACCCAAAACCAGGACGCCCCGCTGGAAAAGCGAGGGGGCTGCTGGCCATGGGGACGCAACGAAGTGCGCGCCCCGCCCCTCCCTTTTCGATTACAATTGATGCCTAGTACTCTACTCGTTCCGAGTCTAGGGCAACACGAGTCCGCTATAAGGATTAAAAAGGGCTAACAAGTCTCGCAGGCGAAGAATGAGCCTTATACGGCCAAGTCATCGACTGATCAAGATAAGGAGCTCCAGGAGCAACCAAAGGACGCATCTGCCCGTTTAGACAGGGAATACAGGGAAGCGGTGAGACAATTCGAGGAATGGCTCGCCGGCATACGCCACGGCTCTGGCGAGAACAATTCTTGGGATCAGAACACTCGTAGGGCGCGGCGTGCAGTCGAGTCCTCGTCTCGCGGGGGTAGAAAGAGCGAGAGCTCTGACGACAGCGATAGCCCAACCCAAAGCCTGACTGCCCCGCTGGAAAAGCGAGGGGGCTGCTTCGGATGTAGAGGCAAAAAGGTACGTCG